TTCCACAACTTGTAGAGAACTGAATGTTTTTCCTTGCAAGAAGTGGTAGTAGTCTGTCGGTGCAAGGTCTGGTGAATCTGGCGGATGACAGAGAGTTAGTTTCCCAGTTCAGCTTCTGTAGTTTGAGCAGCATTGTTTGTGCAACACGTGGTCAAGCAGTGTCTTGCAAGCAGCGTCTGGCCTGTCTCTATGGGCCAGTCTCGGCTGCTTAATCACAAGCATCCTCATCATTTATCCAGTTGGCTGCAGTAGACATCCGCTGTAATTGTTTGACAAAGTTTCACAAAGCTGTAGTGAGTAATACCAGCACTGGACCACCAAACAGACAACATTAGCTTTTATTGATAAATATTTGGGTTGGGGCTGTGTTTCAGCACTTCATCCTCATCCAACCATTGTGCCAAATGCTTTTGATCGCCAAGAATGCATTTGTCATCACGTGTAACAAATGTAGAGGAATTATTCGCCTTTACATCGTGACGGCAAACTCAGAGACGATTTCTCTTCTGATGATCATTTATTTCATGCAGAACACATCTACGCAGCTTCTTTACCTTGCTGATTTATTTCAAATGGTCCAATATTGTTGGAATAGTAACATTAAACCTTGCTGCCAATTCACGCATATGTTGAGCTAGATTTGCTTCCAGTATAAGCTTTTAGCTCATCATTATACATCTTGGTCTCAGGTCACCCACATGGCTCATTTTCAAGATGAAAATTACCAGAGCAGAACTTCACAGACCATTGACGTACTGTGCCTTCATTAGCCACATCCTTCCCAAACACTTCGTTGTCCGAGCGGTCTGCCCTGCATTGGTTCCACAAAGGAACTCATATTTGAAAATAACATGAATTTTTGACTTATCCATTGTTTTACAAAAAGAGCTGTGAAAAAAACTGAAAGATAGGGGTGGCGGCGCCTGTGGCTCAGTGGGTAGGGTGCCAGCCCCATACACCAAGGGTGGCGGGTTCAAATCTGGCCCCTGCCAAACTGCAACAAAAAAATAACTGGGTGTTGTGGCAGATGCCTGTAGTCCCAGCTACTCGGGAGGCTGAGGCAGGAGAATCTCCTAAGCCCAGGAGTTGGAGGTTGCTGTGAGCTGTGTGATGCCTCCGCACTCTACCAAGGGTGATGGAGTGAGACACTGTCTCTATGAAAACAAACAAACAAAAAACTGAAAGATAATCACAAGCCAAAACTTGTGTTTGAAAGAATGAGGATGTACCTTCACAATAAAAACAGAATAAGAAGTGTCAAAGGGAAGTGTCATAGATACCAGCTGTCCAGCTTAGTACTTAAGGAAATCAGCCATTTCGTATTTAATAACCTACTGTTGATACTTTCTTTGGCTTTCCCAGCCAGCGTGGGATCTATGGGTAGTCATTTCACCTGTATGCTTACCACTGCCCTGGAATTCCTTACTTTCTTTCTCTTTCTTTCTTTCTTTTTTTTGACAGAGTGTCACCATGTAGCCCTGGGGAGAGTGCTGTGGCATCACAGCTCACAGCACCCTCAAACCCCTGGGCCCAAGCCATTCTCCTGTCTTAGCTTCCCAAGTAGCTGGGACCACAGGCACCCACCACAACGCCCCACTATTTTTTTCTGTTGTTGTTGCAGTTGTCATTGTTTTAGCAGGCCCGGGCCAGGGTCGAACCTGCCAGCCTCAGTGCATGTGGCCAGTGCCCCAACCCCTGAGCTATGGGCACCGCCCAATTCCTTACTTTCTTGACATTGCCCCGTATCAATCGTAACTTCCAATCCTTATACTAATAGAATGGTTTCTTCTGCCTTGAGGCAGTGGCTTTACTTGATTTTACTTTATTACTTTCAGTAATATTTGCTATAGCCAGTGGCCAAAATGAGGCAGATTTTCATCCAGATGACCTCAGTGGGCTCGAGCTT